GGGGGTCCTCATGTTAGCTAGGGTTTCCCCATGAAAAAGTGTAAATGTGAATGCCTCCCTACCCCCAATGGGCTCATGATTTAGCAGTGCCTGCCTGTCAGTGTTCTTTTCTCTGCAAATACATGACAGGATACTGACAGAATAAATGTTTGATTAAAAAGATAAAATAAGAAATCTGCAGCTTACCTCCCCACGGCCTGGCCCAGGAACATTTAGTGGCTTCCTAGGTAGTTCATCTTTTGAAAGGCATTGATTTGAAGACTCCTTGTTGAAACTCAACAAGAACAACAACGACAAAAAAAGACATTTAGATCTCTGCACAGGTTCACCCACAGAACCAGCAACATTCCTATCTCAGTACATATGATCAAGGCCAAACTGGTATTTGATTTTATGAGTTTAAGAGATTATTTTACTTTTTTTCCACCTTAAACTTAATACCATTGGGAATTATAAACAGAGCTCCTGCCTTTCATCCAACTATGAACCATACTGACTATGAGAAGGGACTGTTTTAAAATTACTCTGTGATTCCTTCTTCAGGGCCTCTCACCAGGTCTTATATTCCAAAGTGCAAGCTCTTTTAGTCTTCATTTTTCCCGTATTCAGAGCATCAGGTTCACCGTTGGCACTTATGAATGAAGTTAATATTACCAAGTAGGTGTTGCTACCCACACCCTTGTTCGCCTCTCTCTCAGTCACCTCTATCTTCTGTACATGGGTCCAGGTCAGCTTCCCTGATGGCTACAAGAGTTCTACCCCTGCCCACATTTAAAGTCTTCTTAGCAGCCTATTCATGCCTCATTGTGTATACCAGGAGAGCTCAACCCCTTGTCTGCACAGACTTGTCATCCAGACCACAGGCTCCCAACAGGTCTGGAAATTTGGGGGCAGGGGAGAGATGGCAGCAGTTGCTGCTTCCCTGCTGCCAAATTTCCAAACCTGCAGGGAGCCCCACAGGCTGGATGACATAGCCCTGTGGATTATATCAGGTGTGCAGGGCCCAGCAGAAGCAATGCAGGACCCAATTCTGGTATGCTGGAATGGGTGAAGGTGCTACGGGACCAACTGGGGCACACAGGGCTGGGGAAGGCAGAGCAAGACCTGATCCTGGCAACCGGGACCCGAATGGCCCACAGATTAGCTCCTTGCCACTCACCCAGCCCACATGGCCAACAGATAGAGCACCACTTGTCTATAATAAATCTTCTTTTGGGTATTCTATAAAATTACTTGATCCTCTCCAGAGTATGAGCTCCTCAGGACAAGAAAGAAACTAAATAAAAGAAATTGATTTCATCTGCTTTCTTTCCCCATAGCATATAAAGTGACTAGTATGTAGCAAATGATACTGTAACCAAATTAAACAATAATTAGAGCAATGAATATATTTATGACCCTTGCTTCAGGAGCTGCAGGGGTGGTGGTGATTGGAATTATAGTGTTAAATCACTACGGACTGCTCTCTGCATATAGTCATAGCCTAAAAGATCAAACCAGTTTGAGCTACAGCCTGGAGTAGGAGCGAACATCAATGAAGAACCTTATACCAACGTCATAACCCGTCCCCTAGAATGAACTCGCTGCCAATTTACAATCAAAACTGCACATACAGTGTATGCAGCAGTTTCAGATTACCACTAAAAGTTTTAAATGTGTAACTTTATACAGAGTAGGACAAAAAATTGTGCAGACCTCACTTCCCACAAATAAGAGACCTGCTCAGTCATTTATGCCATTTCCCACCAGGTGCTAGACTGTTGCTTGAACATTAACTACTCGTTTTTTTGCATTCTCTTTTTAAAAAGTCTGTTCAAATTTCCTCCAGTTGCTTTGGGGAGTCTATTCTACCAGTTTAAAACAAAGACGTCTTTCCTAATGCTCTTCTTGAAAAATCCTTTCTTCTTTTAATTTCTTTCTCTTAATATGCAGATGAGGGGCAGGAGAACCTGGTCCTGCTTCACCTCATGGATTCTGGGTGAACTGTTTGGGGCCCCATTTGGTGATGTCTGCTAGACATTTAAGGCAGGTGAAGAACCGGGAATCATTGGAAATAGGAAAGAAAGGTGCAGCTCAGACGTGGGACTGAAGAGGAAGTTGAAATTTAGTTTAGTGGCTGAGCATGACTTGAAAAAGTCATGGTACTTAAGAGAATTGAGCACAGTGAGCACTAGCCTGTATCTTATTCAGATGGGCTGCACTGGCCAGTACTGGGCCACTTACGGTTGTTGATTGACTCATGGATTTAGAATTGCTTTGGCTGATCTGGTTCTGGAACATGAAAAGTTTTCATAAAAAAAAAAAAAAAAAAAAGAGAGAGATTCCCATCAGCTTCTCAGCCTTTTGGCTAAGATCAAACATACCAGCATTTTTAGCACCAAGAGAAGAGTGTCAGGGCTGGCCCTGGCCCTCCTGGCACTGCAGCCTGGTATTGCAGTACCTCCAGGCCCAGTACTCATACTCTCCTAAAGGAGCAACTGCTTTTTTTTTTTTTTTTTTTTTTTTTTTTTTTTTTTTTAGTGAAGTTAATATTACTGAGTAGGTGTTGCTACCCACTTTTTTTTTTCCTTCATGTGGCCCCACAAGGGCCACATGAAGGAAAAAAAAAAAGGTTCCCATCAGTATGTTTGCCTAATATGGGCCATGTGTATTAGAGTCATTCTCTGTGCTGGCTACATTTATTAAGTTTCATAGCTGGTTTTCATTACTGAGCACATGCTGCTTTTGGCAGCAGCTTCATGATAGACATGGTATTTAATGAGGTTTCCTTGCATGCAAAAGTAAGATGGGGAGCTTTTTCCCCCATGCTGATTGGGGGGGGCGGGGACTTATCTTATATTTGAGTAAATATGGTAATGCCCACTTCAGTAGGGGTCACATTATACTCCCAGCTTTGCAAGCGTAAAGAAAAACAATGAAAGAAATATTTTACTCACTGAAGACTGAAATGGCTGTCTTTCGGTGTGAAGAAAATAGCACTTGACCTTGTCTCGCTAAAAGAGCCATCAACGCTCTGATTTGGGATTCGGGCCTGCCTGAGGCGCTCTGTCCTTCCAAATTGGCTGCTTGGGAGGTCCCTTGATTCCACAGCCAGTTTCGAATGCCATTTATCTGTTCCAGCTGATTCTTGGGTCCTTCCTGGTTGACCTTCTTTTCGCTCCATGAACATGCTGACAGGCCTGTCTTTTTGGACACTATGGGCAGGGGAGCTCCCTTTCTTTGCAACAGTGAGCCCTTTAATGTCTACTGACGAAGTGGGTGTTGTAGTTGGGGCCAGGCAATATTCCACCTTGCTCTGGGGGTTCAGGATGAAGAGAGACTGAGGCCTGGTATCTGCTGTTTTTTTCAGTAGCCTGAGAGAGGACTCCCTGACCCTGTTTGGCTCAGTCCTTTGCAAGGTCTCCCCCTTCCCTTGTCGCTCAAGCTGCTGGAAAGCTTTGCGTTCTTTCTCCAGAATTTCCTTCTGCTGCCGGATCTGCTCCATCATCTCTTTCTCCCTCTGGAGCTGCAGCTGCTTTTGTCGCTCCTCCTTCTCCACATTCAGCTTTTCCAGCCTTTTGATAACAGAGTCTGCCGAATGTGCCTCGGGTCCAAGCGAAGCTATGCTTTCCTCTGTTTTGACAGGAGGCTTCGCTCCGCTCTCTGAATTCAATGCCGTGCCCAGTTCTTCCTTGTCTGGCTCAGTCTCCTTCCTGACCCCAGGAAATATGACCAATCTTTCTTCCTTCTCCATTAGTTTGTTCCTCAGATTATTCTCCATCAGTGACTGATTTATTTTCAGGTTGTCCTGTGGTGGCATGTAGAAGGTAGGCAGATTACTAGAAATAAAGGATTCTCTTGGATGTATCTTATAGAAAATGTTCTGGGGATCAGAAACCATGCGCTCTGTAGAAACATGGCTCTCTGTTACTTCCAAGCTCAAAGGTGTCCTTTTTCTACCTGATAAATTGCTGTTCACATCTGCTGCATAGAAAGATTTGTCCTGCAAATCATGCTTAGGACTGCCAAGTAAAGAGTCCTGGGTCTCTGTGGAGACTGATTGCACGTTTTGCTCACCTAAAACTAGGGAATCAAGTTTACTCTGAGTGTCCTCACAGCTTAACATCTCTAAGCTCCCCTGAGAGCTTTCACTCTCTGGGGTTCCTTGAGGAGAATGAGGGTGCTCCGATACAAGCTCTGTGGACCACCGATGCTCCTCGGAGGGAGACACTCCTCCAATAGAACGAACTTTCAACAACTCCAAGCTAAATTTTGCCTGTTCCAGTTCACGCATTCTTCGGTTTTCTCTTTTTGCGCGGACCACTTTTTTCTGGTTGAGATCCTCCAGGGATTTGGGTCTCTCTCTTACAGCTATTTCCTCTTCAATGTCCACACCATCTTGGCTGCTGGCCCTCTCATGCCTTTTGTGCAATATATTCTCAGGGCCATCCAATGGATCTGTATGATTCACCCGGTTATTTTCTATCAGTGATTTCTGCTCCTCTATGGCTCTCACTCGCTCTTCAAATGAGCCATCCTCCCATTTAGATGGGTCTGAGCCCTTAATTTTCAAAGCATTGTCTGCTTCCAGTCCATCCTCTTCTGTAACCAACAATCCATTCTCCAGCTGTGTCTCTTTTAATCTCTGCTCTTTTAAAGCTCTAAACCTGGAAGAAAGCAAAAAATGTCAGATGGTAGAGCAGTGTCCACTTCTGCCGCTTGGATGCACTGCACTGATTCTGTATAGGAATCACAAAGGTCCTGTGTCCAACGCCTTAGCTAAGCTAATACATGCAATTCAAATGTGAGAATGTGCAACACAGAATATGCATGCTCCACTTCCCCCTACATCACTGTTTCCCAAATTCTGAATGGCAACAAGTATCTTCAGGATTTTCCCCCCCCCTGCTCTTCTGTGCTGAGTCCAGGGATGCCAGAGAAGTGCACCTCAACCACTACTGCTTAAACACCCATATTACCTTGAATGATTACTTTACACCCTCTTGTGACTTTTGTGCAATAAATTCCCAGAGCCATCCAATTTGCATGATTCACCCATTCCCGTGTAAGGCCTGCTCCCGAAGTTTTTAAAGGTAGGTTAGGCAATTAGATGTTTGCCTAACCTATTTTTTAAAACTTTGGGAGCAAGCCTTACACAGGAATGGGTGAATCGTGCAGACTGGATGGCTCCAGAGGTCCCTTCGAGACCTACTTTTCTACAATCCTTTAATTCACTCGTTCCCACTCTGTAGGCAGTGAATCCCAGAAACTAGCTGTAGCTGCCACAAAGCAACTTGAGTGCACACCAAAGTGCATGCCCAAGGCAAAGAGCTGAGAGGTGCACTGGGGACACACTCAGGAGTGCTCTAAGGAGGATCCACTACTTCATTTCTGGGATTTTTCCTATGTAGAGCAGGAGCACGTGAGTATGCTTCTCACCACTGCATCTAATTTCATCATAGAGTGGTCTGTAGACAAGCCCATGGGAAGAGCTGAAGTTTTGGTGACTACGACAGCTCTAGACTTTGTTCATGCTTTTGTTTTCTGAATTTATGTATCCAGAAAAGCACAGTTCAGAGTCTGGTTTTCTGAGTCTGTTCTTTACCAGTTCTCCTGGCTGAGGTACCATTAGGTAAACTCTTTCAGGACTTTAAGGGTGTGCTCTGGCTCTCAAATCTTTTATTTTATGCTAGGAAGTTCCAGCCCTTCTGGGAAGGGATAATACCTCTTCAATGAGCCAAGGGCATGACTGTGCCAGCCAAAGCTCTCAGTCTGAAACAGACTCTGATGATCCTGAGATTGGGCTTCTGAACAGAGCAAGATCCACTGTAGGCTAGACAGTGGACTGAGTGGGAAGCAAGCAGTGAGAATGCAAAGGGCCATACATACAAGGCAAAGGGGGGCTGACTGACTACTAACAAAAGTATGAGACACTACTGGGAATTGTTGTTCCAAATTGCATTGGCTTCTTGCTAAACCATCAACTTAAGGCAGCATTTCCCCTTTTTGTCCACTGAAGTTAATCATGTTACCTTTGTCGTACTATGTATCCCCTACAGGCAGCCTGCAGCAGGATGATTCGTTTTTTCTTGGCCTTGTAGAGTCTCTTTGCACAGTATCCTCGCCATCCGGCCTGAATGCACGTGGCTGCAGCATGCTTGCGCCTACAGTGCTCCCGCCAACAGTTCTGAATGATGAAAGCTGCAACCCGCATCTGCAAGAATTTTCGCCTCTCCACATAAGCTCGCCAGTAGGACTGGAGAATGACTGCTGCATTGCTGAGAACAAGGGGGTCAACCAGGGAAGCTTTGGCTTGCTTTCTATTCTGATAGCTACGCCAACATCTCTGCAGAGAAAACAAACAGCATTCCTTCAGCACCAGATTTACAGTGCAAATAAACAGGCGCTCATTCCCTTAACAGGAAATGGCTGTGTCAGGAAGGAGCAGAACATCAAGTGTCTGGCTAGCACTTGAGATCTCTAGCACTGTTTTTGTTGATATCAGTGGCTAAAACCTTAAAATGTACATTATTTTTAAGTGGCTGTTTCTTTACTTTCTTTGTTAGCCCAGAGCAGCAGTCATCTTTGATGCCTGGTTTGTGTTTTGTTCAAACACTTGGGCAAATGGGAGTGTGTGGAGAAAGTCAAGATGTAGAAGATGGTCACACTGAGAAACTATAATAATATTGCATTTCTTTAAGCACTTAATATTCAGTAATTTCAAGTACCTTAACAAGGCACATACTCAGAGCACCACTGAAATGCATCCATCTACTGATTTTGAATGTGTCAAATTAAATACAACTTGCTGCTCAGGAGCAGAGGCACAGTAATCTCTGGGCCACAAAATTATTGGCAGGAAAAGTTCCAAGTCATTTTCAATATCCATGTAGGCAGCAAACAAGGTTTAGGGAAACCCAGAATACAAATCCAGAATAAACTCTTTTCAGTATCTACATGAGAAGGATGCAGAACTGCACTAACTCGGCTGGAATTTGGCCGTGTTTGTCTGCAAAATGGTATTTTCAAACCTCTTTCTTATGCCACTAAAGCCAACCCATCCAAACCTGTTGCTTGCTTGCTTGGGACTCAATAACTGAGTATTACAGTTCACAGCTCCCATCTCCATCTTACTTCATGAAACATATTACTTCACTTACCTTTGGGAAAAGTAAAATTGTATCTGAAATTATAAATAAATCTACTTTAAATTTAAGTAGATTAGAAAAAAGAAATCTAATTAAAATTATTACTTGTACTGAAATTACATTCACTGGTAAGAACTCTACTGCGGTCAGCCCTACACAAAAACACAGAGACACAATCAGCCCCAAAGGACTGACAATCTACAAATAAGCTGAGACACAACAGGTAGGTAAGACAAAAAGATGGGGGAAGCAGAAACTTACTGGGAGACTCTTATAAGTGGCTTGATTAACAGCGGTCACAGCACACCAGCTGCCTAACTATTACCAAGTGTTCAGTAGATATCAGAGCACCGGTGGGTATTTACAGGAAAACAATGTAGCTGCTTTGGGGATTTGTACAGGGACCTCTTCCCAAGAACAAGGGCTCGTGTGGCAGAAAGCATGATGTATTCTGTTAGAAAGTTTGACATAGGGCAATCAGAGGTGGCATCACTGATGCAGCATGGACAATAATCTAGGTCTCCACAGCATTTAAGAAATGAATGATAGTGAGGAATGAATGGTCCTTAAAGGATTTAAAAACAAAGACAAGAAGATTGTGCTTGATTTAGTAGGATAAAGGGGGGGAGGTCAGTCAAGGTAAGCAGACTGGGCAACATGGTCAATGCGATTAAACCAAGATGATGACTTTTACAACAGGATTTTTAATGGCTATAAGGATTTGAATGTCTCCAGCTTTCCTCTTCTCTCCACTCTGCTGGAGGTCTTCATTACAATGGGACCAATTTTGGTGTAAACTGCTCAAGGCAGGGATTGTGCCTTACATGCCTGAAAGAGACCAGGCACACCAACTATGCTATGTATAGTAACTAGCAATCCAGGTGAAAACACACTGTCATCATCACCCACCTGTATGATCACTGCTGCTTGTCTCAGGTTCAGGAACTGCCTCCTGTACAGCATCGTGCGGAACCAGTGCTGAAGGAGAGTAATTCTTCGGAGCACCTCCTCATGCAGGAGGCCTTGTAAAATCTGGCGTTCCTGTTCCTTCATAAAAACCTAACAAACAAACAAACAAACAGGAAAAGTCAGAAAAATACCCTTTGTTCTTCCTCAACCACAAGAGAGAAATGGTTTAATGCAACAGGCTTACGTATCTTGAGCTGCCTAGAAGGTGGCTTGAGTTTGGGATACCTAAAAAGGCATCTGAAATTTTATCTACAGCATATGGTTGTCACAGGTTGGATGTAAAACATAAATCAGAGTGGCCCATAATTCCCAGTATTGAGAGGGAAGATGATGTCAGAGCAGTAAGTCTGGTGACAAGTGAAGACTTTGGGAGGATGCTTTGTTTTAAAAGCACAATTAAATCATCCTGATTGAGCTGAATAGCAATAGACCTGCTAATAGTCTGCATTTTGTCTGACATTGTTCAAACCCTTCTCACTGATTTGGTCTGCTTTTTAGAGAACCATGGGACCACACAATTGGGTTAATGAAAACATGTATAAAAAGAAGTTGAATTATATAGTTGCTGAAAAGGTACAAGGACACTTTATTTTTGTGGTTTGAGCCATGACATTTACCATTGTTCTCCCAACCTGGTAATTGTCTGAGTTGAGCTTTATTTTCCTGAAGAAGTTAAGGATGTTGTGCTTAGATGGGCTGACTCCTTGTGGTAGAAGAACATGAAAATGATCCACAAAGTCCTGTAAAATGAGAAGCCACAGTTAAATAAAGCCACACCTCTGTCCCTTCGCTATACGCTCTGCTAACTCTTGCATTGGCTACTTCAGGCATGCTTTAGTAAATGAGAAGAAACCTAATTGGCATTTTAAATACTTCCAAATGTAAAGGTTCCTGCTTCATGAAATGATTAGTCGCTCTCAGCTTGCATGAAAAGCAAATGACAATGTAGGCTTGATGGGCGTTTAATGTGGGAGGAGAGATACTGCAATGTCTGTCAACAGAGGAGAGTTGAGCCATTCTGCAAGAACATGCCATGAATCCTCAAACAGTCCTTACAGGAGGGATTTACCAAAACCTGCAAAGTATCTCAGAAAGCACAAAGCATTTCAGCAGTCACCACAGTGACGGTTCAAGGTGCAGAAATACAAGGTTCTGGAGACAGATACTCCAAAATAAGAAATAATTTTGGTTTCCTGTAAAGGAACCGTGCAGTCCTTCTCTCCAACAGCTGCTGTACATGACATGATGCTTGACCAAAACAACTGCAAAATCATTAAAAGGACAGTAAAAAGGAGCAGCTCCCTTGAACAAGTAAATCTGAAAGAACAAAATAAACCTTCCTATGGGGTTTGGGACAGCAAGATGCATTGTGCACTGGCACATAAAGGGAGGAAACACCAGCTCCCAGAGTTAAATGGACTGAACTAACAAATACAACCTCACGGAAATGGAACAAAAACCACAAGCGAGTACTAGGACATCTGTCCTAATGAGATCATTAGTTAAACCAAAGAGAAACTTTTCTGCCCCTAGTCTGACTCACACCTATTACAAGAGAAAATCTTTTTTTACAGCACTTTCAACAAAAATATAGTAAGAAAACATGAATGAGAGAAATGAGTGCTTGGAATCATTACTGTTTCACTAGGCTCATTTGGCCCAACTAGTGCTTGGGCAGGACTCTTCCATTAGGAACAGGCTGTGCTTTACACCATGACAACATTAGATACAGACACTTTACTCCAGAAGATTATGATCCAGTGCCCAAGGAATTTCACTTTTGGAAAGATGGGTTCAACTCCTCTGTAGGTCAGAAGAGCCTGCATGTATCTATTTCAGCCTCCAACAGATGTTACAGTCTTTATTTTAAGAACTTGCATATAATTGCACATGTGCTTTATGAAGAATAAGGCTCATGGGCACATCACAAAATCATCATATTGTCCAGCACCCTGCAATGGGGCTAGGAGTTCTGGTTCAGGATTAGAGTAGCACAGCTGAGGTCCACTGGCACAGCATAAGATTATTCTATGCCTCTATGCCAACAGCAACAAAATTCATTTACCTGTATTAGTTTTGAATTCATGCACACAATCAAGAGCATAAAAACAAGGGTACCTAATAAGCACTAGCAGCACACAAATGAATGTGACAGTGATGATATAAAACAGATGAACAGAGATTAAATGTGCCATGTCTAACCTGGAAGGAATATTTGCAGCTGTAGCCTGACTGCCGAATACGAACTGTTTCCAGCATTCCTGTGTATCTCAGCTGCCTAAGCACCAGGTTGTCATTGAATCTCAGAGGGAGCTAAAAGAAAAAAAGTGCCAAACAATTAGCAAGTACTTCCCTCAGCCATAAATACTTCAAGAGACTCGAGAATACCTGGACAGGAAAATTGATTTCAAAACTTAGGCAAGGAACATGTACAATTCCTACATGCTGGCAATCACGCCAGCTATAGTATGGGACATGAACCACCAGGAAATAGACCCAGCCTAACTTGTTCTTCACTGGTCTTTGAATGCTATGACAGGGAAATGGCTTTCAAAAACAACTTCCCTAGACAAATTTAAAATGGGGATCTAGAGAAAAACTCTGTTAACCTATAAACCAGCCAGCCTCATTCCAGCTTTGTTTTTCCAACAGTAAGCCACTAGTCCAAGAAGCCAAATAATTTTTAAAAACCATAAAGGAAAATTGTTATGAACAAACATTAATTTGACAACATTTATTCTGCAAGTTTCTCTCAAATTAATATTTCATATGGATTTTCTAATTTAAGCAAGACATTAGTGTTGAGTCACGGCAAACCTAAATCCTTCACATATGGGAAGAGCTGCAAATAATTCAGTTCAGCTTATGAAATAGCTCTCAGATATGTATAACCAGAAGAACCACTATAACTTAGCAAGTAAGAATATTATGCACTATTTACACATTTTAATAATGGTCTCCAATTCACTCCCAAGGTCCTTTTTCTTTTTGTGAATGAATAATAAAAGACTTTACAGGTACTCAAAGTAGTCTAAGCTATCTTGGGTTGTAACCAGACCCAAAAGAACTAAGGTGATAGGTGTACCACTTCTCTTGGTACGTCACTCTACTGCTCAAACTCCAGGCCAGCAGCGGTGCTTTGGGGCAACGTGAACCTTCTCATTAAGTTCTTGAATTCCACTGAAATCAAAATAGTGCATCATGGCACAGCTCCAGATCAGACAATCCTGAAGACAGCCATGTGTTCAGTGTTCCTGAAAACTGAAGCAGTAGTGCTGTGGTCAGCTATTAATACTTGGACCCTGCCAGCTGCAGTGGCTATGTTCATGACCCCTCAAAACACTGGCTTACACTGTTCTAGAAGACTGTAATATCTAGAACCATGGCATATGGCAAGAGCCAGACAGAGGTATTTGACCTCTACACCTCCAGTTTACCCTTTTTCTTTGTGCAGGGCATTAACATGAATATAGAAGAGTCATGGGGTTTTTTTACAACTGGGTGCTGGGCAAAGATAATTAAGGGAGTAGGTCTTTACCTTTTCAGCATTAGATCGAATGCACTTGACAAAATAAGGCTCTGCTTGACCAAGTGTCTCCATCAACTTGTTAAGCGATGCCTACAATAGAAAACAAACCATAAATAGGTAGCAAAGATCTAGATGTGATGCATGCCAAGACCTCAAATACCTCATCCCCACGATGGAACTTTTAGCAGATCAGCAATGTGAGAATTGCTCTTGTTAAAGACAAAATCTAATAAAATACCAAGAGGAGGAATACTTTGTTCAAGGGGTATGTTGTTCAACTCATCACGTGTTCTACATCACCAGAGATTGTAATCAATGCTAAACATAAGTGTTAATGCCTTATTTAATAAAATATTCTTATTTAAATGGTAGGAAAGCAGACAGATTTCTTTTTACATGAACAGTCTATTTTAGGCAGCATAGTGAGGCAGCTCCACACCCAGGGCAGCTGCTGCCTTTGGAGGCAGCATGGGGTGTCGTCATGCTGATCACAGTTGTGGGTGATTCTCCCCTCCTCCTCTGTCCCCCCTCCCCAAAAGTAATTGTCCCAGTCACTCCTCCCCCCACACAGTTACACTACTGCTTTCAGGTGATTTGTTTTACTCATTTTCAGGAATCCATTTTTTGTAGAATGTTCCAATAAATATATAAAAAACCCCTAAATCTTCCCCAACCCAAAGTTGTTTCCCACAGAGTTCTGACAATGCCCCCCCGTTTTGCTTCATCTGTTAGAAAAATGTTATAAATTGGCTGCAGTCTGAAAAAAAAAAAGATCATTGTGGTGGTAGAAGTGCAAATGGGTGATTTGGATGCTTTTTCCTAAATTAGTTCTGCAAATTTTACACACTATGAGCACCCAACAGCTCAGCAGATGTTTCTGGATCAGAAACTTTTTAAAGCTGGTATATTTTAGACCATTTTTTCCTCTGCTGAGCTGG